TTATATTGTTTTTGATCATAATTTCTCTCATGTTTCCCCAAAATAAGTGATATATGTCATTCGACTCTGCTTAAGTAGCTCTTTAATATGAGATATACCCCGATTTGGGATTGGAAGTAACAACGCTATTTATCTTATGGAAACAAAAAAATATTATAGTCAGGATAAGAGGCCAAAGACGAGCGGAATACAGGTGTCAGTTAATATTCAATATAACTATGTGATATTGCATACTCTAGCTTCAACGAACTGCGTGCCGTTTATTAGATGCAAGTAAGCATCAGTACTCATTACATTGTTTAACAGCGTGATGAAATACGGTTCTGTTTCAATCAAAGCTGCATTGAATCAGAAAGTTCGAATGGAAGCTAGAGATGTAAAATTACATAGTTATATTGAATATTAACTGACACCTGTATTTCGCTCGTCTTTGGCCTTTTATTTTGACTATTGTTTACAATAACGAGCTGGTAATTTATTTATTTAAAAAAAATATTACTTTTAATACCGGTGCCTCCCCTGTTTGTTCATTGATTGATCTCCCAAGTATGCGAGTTAGAAGTAATTGCCAATAAAGCTCAATATTTACAAATGAAATCCAAATAATAACATTGAGAAATATTTACTTATGTGATGCGCAGACACTTCACACACAGCGTGCACTACGCGAGCAGAGCGCGACGCGATTGTCATGGCGCCAACAGAGCGACGTTAATTATAATATTGAACCGACAGTTCAATATTATAGGGTATCTCTATTTTTTGGCAAAGTCTAGTGTGTCCGATGAATACAAAAAATTCGTAATTGGACTACAATTTCATATTCATTCAAAATTTTTACATTAAGAAAATATTCATTCAAATATTTATTCAAACTTGTGGGCTTTTAAAAATATTTATTCGTGAATATTTTATGATTATTTTATGATTTATTCACATTTATTCATACAAAATGGAAGGTAAAAAAGAAAGTAAAAAATAAATTTATATATTGTTATTAATATCCAGATTTGATAAAGAAAACTTACAAAGTTTGAAAAAAAATTTTAGAAAACACATTTTTTATTTAAAAGTCTTTTATTTACAACAATAATTTTTTTTATGATATATAATTTTTATTCTCTATATTTTTGTAAATTAAAAAGATACAGTAAAATCGAACATTGTAATTTGTTACGAATTACAATAACAGTAACATTAATTTTATAAGATATTTTAAGTACTTTAGCATCTCGTGGATTGTAAATAAAATGTATTATGTAATGCGATTTGAATGAATATATTTGTGATTACGAATATTTTCGATTTCGCATTCACTCTACACACTAAAATTCAAACTTCGAGATTGGTTTAAGTTTAAGAAACACAATAGAGAAAATGAGAGCTATTGCCAATGTTTTTATTGGGGATTCTGAGGAATTTATTAATTAATAGATTTAATTAATAAATTCCTCAGAATCCCCAATAAAAGTATTGGCAATAGCTCTCATTTTCTCTATTGCCAATCTCGAAGTTTGAATTTTAGTGTGTAGAGTGAATGCGAAATCGAAAATATTCGTAATCACAAATATATTCAAATCGCATAAAAAGTATTAATTCAATTTTCCACGAATATGAAAAAAGTAATATTTGTACTCGTATTCATATTTATTATTTATTCATTAATTCAAATATTGGATGTATTCACGGACACACTAGACAAAGTTATATAAGTTATATCTGTTACAACCTACCTCTGTTACTTTCAACTCCCCCAGCCTTCCCTATAATTTATACATTTCGCATCTTTTTCGTATGTTTACCGTCAAAACTTGTGAAAACAATCAAAAGTTGTTCCGTCAACAAATTGTTGAATATTATTCCGTATGTCAAAATTAGTAATCCGAAATATTTTCACAATCCTGCGGAATTGCTCGAGCCGGAAGATAAGTCCATTGAGAGGAACTCGTACACGGAAAGGACGATTTTGCTGGAAGATAAAAAAAAATTTGAAAATAATTTTTGTTAGGTCATCATCAAAATAATTTTGTTCAAAAGTCAAATTGATTGCTAGAATATCAAAACTTTTTACAGCAATGCTTATTATTCTTGAGTTTCCGGCAAAATATTTTGATGATGCTGTAACGAAAATTATTTTCATATTTTTTTTTTATCTTCCAGCAAAATCGTTCTTTCCGTGTATCAGAGAGGATCACCCTTCGCGTCTCACGCGATACCACTATACGACGTGATACCTTTAAATACTCTACTATGTCTGTATCCATATTATCTTAACGGGACGATCGCGCCACTTTCTTTCTCTGAGCGACATTATTTATCCGCCGTCGACCTCGTTTTGGCCGCTTATCTCTCTACTGGATAAACGCGTAGAGAGCGGCCGTGCGTGCTTTTCTTCCCGAAATTCGCGTAGTGCGCGCACGGCGCGTTAATCAACGGCCGGCCGAGGGGAGGGGAAGTCGCTCACAATCGCCTACGTCGAACGAGCGTTGTCGGTAAACTCACGCGATACATGCAATGCAGATAATAACCGATCGACAGGTAGGCGCGCTCGATTATAGCGCCCGAGATACGTATACCGATTTTTCGTCGACGTCAATCACGCGCGCGCACGTCTTTGTCCGCGATCCTATTTTTTTCACGAAATCAACAAGATTCCGCTCGCCTCGCCCGTATATACGCGCACGCAATTGACGAGTGTTGCTCCGGGTGCTCGCGTGTTCGGATCGAACACGCTGGAATAATGATCTATATACGTAGGATTGCTATATCAAAATTTTCAAGACTACAGAACTTACAAGCCAAAAACCCCGAATATTTCGTGTGCAACTCCGGATTTTCAGAGAATCTTCTAAATATTTTAACTCCTCCCGCGTATCATTATGTATTAAAATAACTTAAACATTGAATATTTCATCATATAACATAGTTATTACTCTAATAATACAAATCATTATATTATTCAATTACCTCATAGTTTATAATTTATTTATAATACCTAGTTTAACCGCAATTGCTGGCACTATATTTTATTACTATTAAATATGTAAATAACTAAGCTTAATTTCTTAAGATTATATCATTTTAAATATTAAATTTACTCTAATTTCAAATTATTTAAATTTTTTCTATATCTAATACTGAATTACAAAATTTTATTTATATTATTTTTACAAAATAAATTCAAAAATAAAAATTAAATTTTAATATATTATTTTATAAAAATATCAAACTTCTTTTATCTCCTCCCCGAAGGTGTATATAAAAAAAAAGCATATAAAAAAAGCGTGTGTAGTAGGTTAACAGCTTGTTTCTAAATAATTACGCGGAAGGAGTAAAAATATTTAGAAAATTCTCTGAAAATCCTAAAATCCCGAACACCTTCGGAAAATCCCCCGGGACAACCCCTGCAGACGCCCTAAAAAAGAAGACAGTGTCCGGGAAAAAGAGGACGGATGACAACCCTATCTATACGTCGACACGTATAATTGCAGCAACATTTCAATTTTTAGCAATATTGTAGCAATATTACAACGTTGCAGCAATATTGATGCAAATTTCCGTGCAGTATGGGAAATGTCGCGATTTTGGTAAGCCTTCTCGCGATCGCTTTGAGCAGCGCGGCTAGAGATGTAAATAGAAAAAAAACAAAATTGTTTTTTTTTTCATAAAATACGTTTTTTTTTAAGAAAAAAACATAAGCCTCGTTTTTTTCTCAAAATTTTGTTTTTATCAGCTATTTATTTAATATCTATATTTTGCTTAATATAAGTTAATTTTTTATGATTTTTTATTTTATAGATAGATTTAAATTATCATCATTTTAATCTTTACGTAGAACGAGGAAACCAATATATTGATTTTGAGACATATTTTGAAGCAAGAACTTCATTGAATAATTATAATAAATTCTGCTTAAGGAAAAGCTGTTTAGAAAAAGAATTAAAATCTTCTTTTGTAAAAGTTAAATGTAGATCACATTAAAATTAATTATATAATTATATAAATACTATTTGCAACTAATTAGTTGTGCTATCGGAATTAGAAAAAAAAACTAAATTTGTATTTTTTCAATGAAATAAAACGGTTTTTTCTATTAGAAAAAAAAACGTTTTTTTTTTACATCTTTAAGCGCGGCCTCGATCGCGCGCGTCACCGCGCAGCGATATCCCTTCTGGGGTACGTTCAAATTCCCAAAGTACTGCTTAGGTATAATCTTATCATTGTTTGACATTTAGTAAACAAAGATAAAATGATACCTGCAAGAGATGTGTATGCAAAGACCGGAGGATCTCTGTGACAGGAGAGATTGAAAGTAACGTGTACGCGTGTATAGTGTACGTTTCGCGCGAAACCGCCGCGAAGAAGAATCATCTCTCCATCACTTCCCGTCTCGCGTAAACTTGACCGGGGCTTCATTATTTGCTTTATCGATCGTTTGCTCAATCGATCGCTTCCGCGAACGTGTTGATCTTTTGAAAATAGAACATTACACATTTCGACACCCGTCCGTGTTCCTCCCTTTTTCATCGTTCCTCAGAAGTTTGTCCAGAGGCTTTTATCCTCCCCACTCCGACCAGTAAACGTTACACGTTTATCTTTTAATATTTTTCTAATCTCTTTTACCCAAGAGGCCTTTGAAAATATTTGGATAGAAAATAGACATGCGACTTCAATATACGTATGAGCATTTACAGGAAGCGATGTTGGTGTTATCCGAAAGTGTATAATCTTGCCTCAACATTTCGTTAGTTTTCTCTTCTTCGGCAACTTTTCGATAATCACATAAAGAGAATTGACGTTTTCATCGTCGTTTAATTATATAAATGTTTCGAATTTATTTATAAAACGCTATCTATAAGGTATATTTTAAAAAGGTAAGGCAAAACGAATTTTTGGCACCGGTCCACGCAAAGTGATGTTGATGTATCGTTGAAGCTTCCGCAGTCACTTGGACCATTTTAACGATCCCCGCCGGTCGACAGTCAAGTCGTTCGCAGTACGTGAAACTTTCGCCATTGTCCTGGGAAAAGGCGCAACTATGCTCCTCCGTTGGAATACTTTATCGCACACTGCACAGGAGATAACTTCTTGATGAATGTTTGTATACAATTCTCTGATACGTACTTTTGTTATATCGACCGCGACTCTTGATGTGCTATAAAAAACTGCTTTTGTAATTACTTTTCGCAATTATTTACGGCTTGATTAAATAAGGATTATAAGGGTATATATTCAAACGTGTTGCGCGCTTTGTTAACGATTGTCGTTTATTTAGTTAAGCTTGTCTCGAGTTTCCCGAGGATTAGCATACTAAGCCGTGGAATGTTAATCAAGAAGTTACAAATTTCGCAAATTTCATTAATTGATTAATCTTTTCGTTGACCGTGCGATAATGTAAAATTGATTATTTATTATTAGAGACAATATAAAACACATTATATTGTGCAATAACATAAAATTTATTAATTAATAAGAAAAGAAAAATGTGTTAAAAGTAAATCAACAGCTGTTACGTAGGATAAATCAAGGAAATTCATATGCAACTTTTCAAGTTAAGATTATTATAATAGCAGTATATCTTTAACTACTAAATAAATAAACATCGTTTTTATTTGTCAAGAAACTTATATAATATTATATTCTCTGAACTTATATTCTCTCTACTATATTCTCCGAAATTTTTTTTCTTTTATACTATTACTTGGTACATCAAGCCACAGTCAGTGAAATGATACCGTTCTATCATTTTAACATAATCTCCTAAATATTTTAAGAAGTGCTAATAAATAAATACAAGAAAATTGTAAAAGATCAAAAAACCTTTAAACTTTAGAATTCAAATTACCTTCTTATTGTAAAATTTAATACCGCAAAATTTAACTACTTCAAAGGCAACCGAAGAAGCGGATGTTTATTTGCTTTAGCTTAAAAAACTTATACCATTTGCAGCACAAGTAAATGCTACGCGCGTTTTCTACATGTACTATAATTAACCCTTACTTCTGGTAATCGTACGCTTTCTCTCTCTCTCTCTCTTTCTCTCTCTCTTTCTCTCTTTCTCTCTCGTCGCTTTATATCGAATAAAGCCATTCCAGAAAATTAGCGAGCCACGATAATGGCTTATCTGCTGGTAACCTGATAACGTTCGCGTACGTTCCCACTTGGTAGAGAGATGTGCATCAACGTCATCACTTCATCAATTTGAAACGATCGATAGAACTGCGAGAGTGAAAGTCATTTGTTTTACTTTCCTTCGGTTACGTAAAACTTTTCGCGTATAGTGTTCATTGGCGGCTTGATTGGTAGTTAATGACAATATAATTTTTTACTATAGATACTTCAATTTTCATTTTATCAAACGTCGATTAATTGTAATTACAATTAAACGAGTCCTTGACTTGTATTAATAGTTACAATAATGGAAATATTAAAGCAATAATTTTTGATAAAGCCTTTTACAAACACATAATATTTTAGTTATAATAAAACAAATGCTCACAAAATATCCGATCAAGAAGACAAACGGAATTCAGTCGACATTGACAAAATCAATCTCTCGCATTTGGCAAATAGGATTTAGCGAAAGAAACAAAGTTTTTTATTTTTATTTTTTTTCCTGACGTTATTAGGACCAAATGCGAAATTTTCCGATTCATGACGGTTCTATCTTATCTGTAACCGAAATTTCTCCTCTGCTCACTCGAGGAGAGAAACATGAAGCGTCCGTTAATGGCGGCTTTTTCCCTTGGCGGAGAAAATGTTCGTGAAGTCTCCGTACGATCCTTTTGAGAGAAGCGAGTATTGCGGATTTGTGGCATTCAATTCTTTATATCGCCGGTTGCTCGGGAGGAAACTCTTGACTTTCGATTCTTCGTATCCTTTAATCCCCTAAGATGCCATGATGTGTAGCCACACAGCCACGTCACCGTTCCAATTTCATTGGAAAAACTGAGCACACGCGATAAGATTAAGAGTATTGATGAGATTCACTTCAACGATTATCTTTTAATATTAACCATATAAAATGAAATCATATAAAGAAGCAGAAGATAATAATGTTTTCGCAGAAGTAGTCGACCATTTTATGACGAGTGCGGCTGAGAGATTTATATACCTTTGTTTCAAGTTTAGGTGATTACTGCGGATGAATGATAAGAGGATAATGCATTAACAGAATGCTGCACCGCTGAATAATCGACTGAAGAGTATTGTTAGATGGGTCAACTTTTTTAATTAGAGACACTTTCTCCAAGTATCCAGAAAGTATTTATACAAGATAAATTGAGCCCTGTTTATCTTTTAACGATCTAGAGTACAGCGAAGAAATGGACAGCCGATATACCTAATTTATTTTGTTTTACACAAGGTGTCCCAAGATTTTAATGATCAAACTGTGTCAGTATATTTTATAAGTAAAAATAAGAAATAAAAATTTAATAAACGTAAATTTTTAAAATCTTAATTAAAAAGTTGCGGAACAAAAAAATATGTTACAAAAAAGGAAAGTTTGTTATTATTATTAATAGGGTACAAAATTTCTGTATTTTATTAATGTTCCATTTGAAAATGTCAATCATTTTTGTCGACGATAATCGGAATTATTTTGTTCTTTAATAAATATTTGCGATTTTGTGATTATAACTTTTTAATAAAGCTTCGATCGGCTTACATTTGTGTAACTTTTTTTTTCTCATTTTTGTCCATTGAACATACTGGCGCAGTTTGGCTATTAAAATCTGGGATATCCACTGTGTGGCCGCGCGAGTGTGCTTGAATGAATGAGTAAGTGAGTGTGTGTGTGTGTGTGTGTGTGTGTGTACAGAGAAAACCAACGAAAACATTTTATCCTATTTTTTGTAATCAACTGATTTGCGCGATATACATTGGAACGCCAAGCTTGCTTTCAAGGAAGACGTTTAATTGTAATAAATTCAATAACCATGCCACATCCCGTTGTTAAGAGTAGTTATTCCTTTAAAAATTATAAATGGCAGAAGTCAAATAACATATAAACTTATTTTCTTTTTATTCTCTCTTAATTTACATCTATTTTGTTTTCTCAATTTGGACAAATATTTTTCCGTAATTGAATTTGGAGGTAAAGTTGAAAAAATTCGCAGTTTACAGAAAAATTTACTTCAATAAATGTTTGAAATGCGTTGCCCTCTGATTTCCGTATTAAGACCTCTTATAAAAGAGATTCCTTTTGTTGACGTTTTTAAACATTTCCGAGCGGTATTATTCTACTGCACTTATCTATCTTTAGAAGAAGATCCGATTGAGCGGCTTATAAGGTCCTCTCAATTTTATCCATTAGAAGTTTCTTCTTTGGGACCCTTGAAAAATAATATTTATACAACCTCGGATTCCATGCAAGATCTACGTCAAAAGTGGATGAGTGTCGTAGAATAACGCTGGAAATGTCCGCCACAACTTTTAACAGAGACTTTATTATTGCATGAAAGTTGCTTAAGAATATTTCGAACATTTGATTACGGAAGCAAGTATTTTTGTAAATTACAAATTATTAATTTTTATTACTTAAGACTTTCAGATTTCTCGAGAAATACTTGTTCAAATTAATAAAACAAGAATTGTAAAGAGTTGTGATAGTTGTAAATATAATAATTAAAAGACCTTCAAAACAAACAACTGCAGTGCAGCTTGGTCATTGTCACTTGAGAATTTCGAAGAGGTAGCTACCCTGATGGGTACCTATTATAGAAATATTCGGAATGAATTCCGATCGGAAGTGTTCAATTATTCCCTAGATTTTTGTTGTGTCTTTCTAAAAAAAGCTGAAGAAACTCCGATCGGAATCTATTCCGAATACTTCCATAATAGATACCCTGAGACACAAAAGAGGATAAAATGACACAGAATTTATATAATATATATGTATTTATAATTATACAATTATATGTATAATTGTTATATAATAGAATATTTATAATTATACCTTTTAAAAACAAAGTTGACGTATTTTGATATTTTGCGCAATCATTCGGTTACAAAAAAAAATCGATAGAGAGTTTTTATTGGCTTATACTGTATACATATATACATGTATGTATCAATATAGGTATATAAGGGAAAGAAGGGAAATTGCGAACATATACGCGACGGATACTATTGCAATATATTAAAGTAGTGATAACCTCTCATTTCTCGTATCAAGCGATAGTTCGATACGCTCAATGCACATGTGCCTATAGAACGCGCATACGATTAAAGATAAACATCATTACATGTTTTCAATATTTGCACACGGGGGCAATGTTGGGCTTCGTTTTCTGTTAAAAAAATTTATATTGATAACTTTTAAATATTAATTATTGTAATTTAAAA